TTCTCTCTTGCCCTGCGAAGGATGTCTTCCTTCAGGCGATAATCCACCAGGCAGCATATGATATCACAAGGAGGGTCGGCTTCTCTTCCTTTAGGACGCAGAGCGCGATGAAAGCGTTCCATGCTAACAGGAGATTCAGGTGGCCTATCTAGCAGGCCGTTGAAGATGAGAAGTAGTGTAGGTTCAAGTTGATCCACCTCCACGGTCTCTGGGACACCTCTTACTCTCAGGTTGTGGCGGCGGCCTCGGTTGTCCAGATCTTCCAGATGACGGTGCATCTCGAGCATGCGGGTGGTATGTGCATTAGAAGTCTGCCGAGCCCTAGTCAATGCCGCAGAATGGCGTGTGGTCACTTCTTCGATCGAGAGGATGCGACCTGTTAGGGAGTGAAGGTCAGATTTCAGCTCCGATATCGCCGCTGATAGCGTAGACTTGATATCCGAAGCTATGGAATTGAGGTCGGACATACGAGGCATCTGTCCCATCAGTGATATCAGGTCTGGATGAGGTGGTTGAAGGTCTTCCATCGACGGTCTATCAGGGCTGCTGTTTGGTGAGTATTCCTCGGGTGAGGATGTGGCTGCTTTCCGCACATGGCGATCGGGCGGTTGAGAGCGAAACAGCTTCGGGAGGCTCCTTCCAGGTTGAGAGTTCGTTTCTTTTGGATTTTTAGTTGCCGGGGTGTTTCTCCCAGTTTTCCCCATGGTGGAGGTAATATCGGGTGGGGGATGCCCAAATAAAAGCTTATAGAGAGGAGCCCAGGTGTCAGGAGAGAAGATCTAAGCGTCCATCTTGGTCTCGAGCCAGGCCCAGGTGTTTTTTTTTTTAACTACCACTGATAGAACCTTGCAAAAAACGGGGCAGGATGGTGCCGCCGTACGGCAATCGTACGACGGTTTGATTATCGGACGAAAAGTTTCGTCCGATAATCGTAAGGTGTATGGGCACCTTTTAGTGTAGACCTGTGCACAACAAATGTCCTGCCAGTTTTCAACATTTCAGCGAGCTTTTGAACACAATATTATTACTATATTTATACATTTATGTTGCTATATCAACATTTGTTTTTGCTCTGGCAAATGAGCTAAAATTGCAGGTACATTTGCTTTGCTTTGTGTATGGCCAACACTATAGAGAGTCGTTGTTTACAATCAGGTTGGACCTAAACTTACATTGAGCAGTGGTGCATAGGCTCTTTGCTGCAATTCTAGGCAGGTAGCAAGAGGTGCCTGTGCACTCCTCATTCACCATACTCTACCTTGTTGTTTGTCTCAGTAACACGTTTTGCTAGTTGGCTTGCAGCATTACACTATTGAAACTTCAACAGTTTGACAATTTTACAATCTGAAGGTACCCATCTACTTGATACAATCATCTCTTTATCTGGCAGATTTCATTCAGATTGGTTATTGATTCTGACAGCTTTGGGTAACATTATATATACCTTGGCCATTTGTTTTTGAAAGAGCTAACAATCAGCCAGGTTGGATATTTTTGCTAACCGCTATTATTTACCCCAGACAAGTCTGCCGCTATTGTTGTCAGGCCACTTCCTTCCTTCCCTTCCACAATCATGAACATGCATTCTCATCTGAGCATGCATGTTCATGATTGTGGAAGGTGGGCATGTTATCTAGGTGTGCATGTTATCAGAATGATTGCTTTTCAAAACCAAAAGAAAGGTTTCATGTTTGAATCATTCTTGCAAATCCAAATGCCATCTCGAGTCTATGGTTCACTTTAGACCGCATACACATAAAGGTAAAGAAAAGACAAAGAGGCAAAGAAACATGCTCACCTGAAGGGTAAGACTCTGCTGTGTTTTCAGTTAGCTCCAAGCGGAGAAAACAGAAAATATATTGTTTGTGACAAAAAATGGCACTAGGGTCACAGTTTGGGGAAATTAGCACAGACAAATGTCAATAATTCGTGATTTGTGTTTTCTTTTTTTTACCCATTGCAAATTGTCTCTAAGTGTTGGCTTTGAGCAATAAATATTACAAAGGTGAAGGTGTATGGATGGTACAATTTTTTTAACGTACATTGCAGTTCTTTTTTTCAAGCATGATTCGTTTGCAGATCAGGCTTCCTCTTGTTCAGCAAACTCTCTGCTACAGGTTTACAGACCCCTCTGTCTGTATTTCTGGGCAGCCAAGTGGGACACTTTGCAAAGCTCCAAGACAGATTTATTACGAAAGATACAACTGATTTTCACTCTAAACAGACTCCTATTTAGGAAGTGGATGGTGTCTGGTTTTAGGAATTTATGACTCGTATTGTAATCTTGTTATAAATCTGTCTCGCAATTTGTCTCAGTGCCCCTGTGTAGCAATGCTTTGCCATGCTACAGAATTAATACTTGTCTCCCAGTGAGTTTTATTAATCCAAAAATTATATACAAACATTGAAATCAGAATACCACGGAACTGACCTTATATAGTTGTATACAGATATCAGACCAAAACAACATAATCATACAGTATGGTATTAGCACTGTCTTAGAACTAAAACCACAGTATATGTGAGGCACTGGTTTGTGAGATCTTACCGACACATAAGAGTCTCTTCCTATACAATTCAGATGGCCCTTTGCCCTGTGAATGTTTGTTTTAGACGTATAATGCCAAAACATAAAAAAAAATATTTTTTTTTTCCAGTTCTAATGTATGATTATTCTGCATACTCCTATGCTCCTCAGCTCTATCTAGTGGCCCAAATGTAGTATTACATAGCAATACATTTGAACTAGAAATAGATTTTTATTATGAATATTCTGTGGTGGCATCATAAGTCCAAAGCGAATGTTCACAGATATTTGCAGGGCAAAATGTTTATTAGTATAGACCCTGTAGAGTAGAGCCCCGAGAGGCTCCAGGGTTTATGACTGATGTGAAGGAAATTAACTTCTTGTTTTCTCAAAATCTTAATAAGTTCTCTTGTTTGTCCAGGAGCCCAGAGGCTCCAGAGACTTGTATTAGTATTAATTGGTCAGCTATTGGGTTGAATTAGCTGGGCTGGCCAGTCTTGGACAAGTTAGCAGTTGTTTGAAATCTACGCCACTTGTACATTATTTTCCTTACAGTAGAATGCATGATCTCAAAACATTGGGATCTTTTTAAATCCTTTGTCAGACTCAATGGCATCAACAACTTTTTCTGGGGGCCTTAGGCTAGGTTCACACCTCGGCGACTGAGCTGCTGAGTGGTTTTCGCACGGTCGTCGCACCTTTTCATTGCCTAAGTGTTCACTGAAAACCGTGCGGTTGTCCATGCAGAGGGATGTTTATGGGACCCAAACCAGACGACAACCGCCCGAAAATGGCTCCTGCACCTTTTTGCAGGACAGGCAATTTTGTCCGCGTGATAAACACCAGGTCACTATCTGTAAGGAGTTTGCATGTTCTCCCTGTGCTTGCGTGGGTTTCCTCCGGGTACTCCGGTTTCCTCCCACACTCCAAAGACATGCTGGAAGGTAAATTGGCTCCTGTCTAAATCGGCCCTGTGTGTATGCATGTGATATAGGGACCTTAGATTGTAAGATCCATGAGGGTAGGGACTGATATGAATGTACACTATGTAATAGCGCTGCGTAAATTGTCTGCATTATATAAATACCTGTAATAAATAAATAAATACAATTATTAGGAGTGGGATGGAAATTCAATCATGCAACTGTTCCATGGAAATGTTAGGCAATGACACTTTCACAAGCCACCAGATGTAACTGTATGATGCGTAGATCTGACCAAGACAAATGTACCTTGCAATAAAACAACAATAAATTACAGTTGTGTAATAGTCTTTAGTCTCAAAGTGAAGATAAAGTTATACACTTCCATGTGGTACCATTTTCATTGTTCTACCGTACTTTGTCGAGAAGTTACGAGGCATCATGATCATCAGACACCTCCCTCCCTTCTAGGCAAATATACTCACCTGTGTATAAATGTTTATTGTGAAATATCTTGAATACTTTAGCCAACCAGAACCTTTATCACCTGTTTTTCTAATTCATCAAAGCAAAATATGTAAGAATTAACACATTTTTATTTCGGAGGTCGATAATTTCCCAAAATTTGTAGACCAGTGTATTTTAAGATTTGACTCCTGAGTTTAATGTCACTTTAAAGTAACACTGGTCTCTGGGTTTTTGTCCCCATTCTAACTCTGCTTTAAGGACTTACCTTATGTGATGCCTCTTGATGCGATCATCTTCTTCCTTCCACTTGTTTCCAGCAGTTCCTCCAGCCCTGGCACCGGTCTCTGATCCAGCGCAGACTTCCTTTCCCACAGAGTATGTCCGACGTGCACACTCAACGGCTGTGTGCATTGACTTCTCTTGTGTCACTCCTTCTCTCCTCGCCGGTGATATGGACTGCTCATGCGCCCACACACATCAGCGGCGCAGACAGAGGTAAATAATTGTCTATTTGAAAACTATCGTTTTTTTTTAATGTTCTTGCATATGTCTTACATACAACATATTGTAAATATATAAATTATGTAATATTAATGGGAAAATGTAACAACCATAACGTAGGTGTTATCTCAATTTGGCTACAAAATAAGAAAAAAACTTTTAGGTTTCGGCCGAAAGAGCAGTAGTCAACATATTTGCATCAATGATTCAAACCTGGGGACAGTTTTTTTGTTAAATGACAAAGAAAGGTGCGATCTGTTCAGTCATGGAGATAGTGAAAGGGCTTTTACTGACTGGAAGCTGTCCTCATACCAGTAAACAAACACGCTGCAGGAATAAAGGTGTGTCTGATTGTCACTGAGGATCCAGTTTAGCACTCGGGCTGTGCGTTTATAGTGTGGTGAGGGGATTCTATAGCTGGGCAGGGGGGTGGGACAGAAGGGAGGGTTTAGAATCTGGTCTGACTAGTCTGAATGAGCAGTTTCAGGCTGTTCCTCACCTATGTATTTTGCACCAGCAAGCTCAACACCAGGCTGCATAAAGAAAAAGCATAGAATCTTGTTACAAAGAGGAACGTAAACATGAAGAGTCTTCCTTTGCTGCTGGTCCTGCTGCTTGTGGTGAGTAGCCAGGAAAATTTTTTGCCTGAGCAGTTTACTGTTTATGACCTGTGGAATGTAGGAGCTATGTCTGTCGGGTAAGGTAACTTGCAGTGTGCAAGATGGGCAGTCTGATGTTACAGAGTCAATTTGTATATTTGAACTGACAACAGTGATTATTTTGTGATTTATGTAAAAGTGGTGACCTTTACCCTTTTAACATAAATGTTAATTTCTAGTTTGTGCACGGACTTTGACAGAGGGATACCTATTCTTGCAAATTGGTGTGGGTTGATGAATTTCCTCCTCAGAAAGCCAATACTCTGTTGCGAACCAGGACTACTGTCAGTGGTGCGTGCAGTAACCACTTCTACTGTTACATGGCACAGTTAATATTTCACTTACAGGTGTTTAATGGGGCGTTTTAAATTTCTTTGCATTGAAAAAAGTTGGAGGGCTTCTTTTAGTAAATGTTTTGTTTTCACTCATGTATTGCTTATAGACTTGACTTTGATAACCTGGATCTGTAAAAATAAATTGTAATTAAATATACAGGGTAGGTACCATATGGTTCATGCCTTTGTAGATTTCCTCTAATTGCCTATTGATGCCCAGCAGCATTTGTACCAACTCATTGTTTTATACAACTGATGTTTAACATTGCCTGTCATTCCCTGTATTAGGCAGACTCCCACATTGGCTTGGGTTTAGGTGCCCATTTACATTAAACAATGGTGCTTAACTAAATGGGGGTGGGGTGGAAGGCCTAAATCGAGGACCACGATATCACGAAAGATCCGCAACTAATATTTACCATATGTAATAATACAGAAAACGGTCAGAGATTGTTAACGTGCTGCAGGAGACAGTCAGCAATTGTAGGCATGGCACAAGTATGGTTGAAGACAGGGACCATCCTTGGAGCCTGCTGCCTTGTTCTGTTTGACAGTCGGCCCGGCTCGCGGCCGGCGCCCCCCCTTCCCCTGACTTTGACTTGTTAGGAAAATGTTTGCATTCACAACTTAGACGTCCATAGGTCCTCAAACAGAAACTATCACATGAAGATGGAGTAATCTCCCTCTGTGGCTGTCTCCATCAATGTAGTCAATATTTTATTTACATCTGCTCTGAATTTATATACACAGCATTGATATCTGTTATCAGCTACTTTAGGCAGGAAAAGCTACCATATGGTTTCTCAAAATTACCCAGGAATGCAGCTAAGGCCACACAAAGGGTGATAATGGCTATTGTCTCAAACAGGATTATCCTGCTGATCGGGTATCTGTGTCACTTAGTTCTGTTTGTCCATACAGATGGAAATCACAGACCTAGGATGGCAGTAATTGTGTTTATTTAATGTTAACTAAAATCTACTTAACATTTGCCCTACGTGTACAGCATACTGCGTGTGTTTACCATGTGTGATATGTATATCTTCTTAGAACCATGTATCTTAGAACTATGTAAGAGCCTTCTTAGAACCATGTATCATTCCATCACATATCCCAAAAATAAGAGGATTATACCTTATTTTAGGATAGTGGGTGGGTCCATGCAAATCATTCCGTTACACTGGACTAACCAAATGCACATCCATAACTACTGGTGTATAGTGCAAATAGAACCTAATATTATAGACTTATGAATGTATTTCAAACTTCATACCCCTGTTTCAGGTATCAAAACTATGTCTTCTGTGGAGTAGGGCTTGGGACCCAAGGAGGAAGTAAGCATTTGTGAGTTGTATTGGGCTGCATACATGGACAAATGCCAGATAGTCCATGCAGCCAAAAAATAAAGCTGACTTTATCTTGTTGAAGGCTGAACAGTTGTCATTAATGAGAGTATAGTTTTCGTCTAATTAAAGGTACAGTGCAACCAAAAAACTGATATTTCAGATGGACACATTGAGGTTTGCTGCTTGAATCACCTGCCAGCTGTTTTTTATATCTCTGGGTTGCTCCATTCACTTGATGTTATTGTAGATTGCAATGGTGAGACGTAAAATCGCCCCCTGTTAGATATGAGAAGCCAGTGGCTGATACAACTTGCTAGTATTGGTCTGTAACCTCGGTTTTGGCTGAACGAATGCTTTAATCTCGCCTGTTCGCTTCTTGAGTGGTCTAAATGGCACAGGAATTCTAAATGAAGTTTTATAAAATGTATTGCACAAATTGTTGAAGCTTAGATGGTGTGTCTGGCCTTTTAACCAGACTAGAGCCCCTTTGCCAGTCACAAGGAATAGTTCTCTGGAGATACCACTCGCAGCTAAGGTGCCCATAAGAAGATAGTCTCCGAGGGAGGTTTTTTGGCTAGATCGGGTAAAAAGCCGGTTTGTAAGGTGTGCTCATTGAGGGTTGTTGGGAAACAAAAATGTCAAGCCGGTCACAAGACATTTCATGATCACTATTGTTTACCCCAGTCCAAGGACTGTCTGCCTGGTGCTCTCCCTCCCTTCTCCACTGTTCTTAACTTGTATGACTAATGAACATGTATGCATGTCTGATCGTTGTCTGTGGCCATTTTCACAGAGTCTCCAGATGATCCCTATGGGATGCAACTTGGCCTTAAAATATAGTTAAAGGCAAATAAATATCCAAGGCCAGACTGCTTTAAACTAAAGAAAACTGAGAGGCCGTTGCCTCAGAATTGCTCAGTGGCACTATGCTGAATTGTAGGAAAGGACATACAAAGTAAAAGGAAGTTGAAGAGGTGCACAGTATTAAGAACGGTTCCACTGTAATCTACTGTAAAAATATTTTTTATTAGGTTTTTAAAGAAAAACATGTTTACACATTTCCCACACAATTCTTTATTATATCCACATCCTCCTCCTTCTTTAATTGTTTGTTTTGTGCGTGTTTTTTTAGTTTTTTAGTACGCAGCCCCCGTCCCTCTATATGGGACTACGCGGCCGTACGCCCCCCTACGCTCACCCGCCCTACATGTCTGGGTGGGTGCAGGATGGATCCTGTCTGTGTTTCGAGCAAGGAAACACGCACCCTCCATAGGGTCTGTACTTGAGGTGAGCGTAGGGGGGTGTACAGCCGCGTAGTCCCATAGAGAAGTACGGGGGCTGCGTACTAATCACACGCATCCCCTGTCCTTCCCGGGAATAATAATGCAAGCACAAAAGTCATATATTTCTATATGTTCTATGTGTTTTAAATTAGTAACAATGAATATCTTTCAGCCTCATTTCTGAAAGTGATTGAAAGCCTGTTTATGGTTCACATAGCAAACAAATCATTCTTTCAAGTAGATCTAACAAGGAAGAGCATTCTTTTCTGATCCTTTACAAAAATGACACTCTGTAGTTATGAAACAGGAAAAAAAGTATACCCATATTCATTTTTCAAGGCTGATTTCCTTGTGTAAATAGCTATTCAGAAGTTTCATGTGCATGTTTATTAGAGGCATGCTATCCAAAAGTAAAAAAAAAAAAAAAAGTTGAAGTTGGGTTTTAATATAAACTATCTTATCGAGGCGCTTTAATGTCTTTTAAACATTGTTTCTACTTGTGGAACCATTTCATTGTATCTGCTTACCTCAAATGCTGAGTAACTAAAGATTCCCTGTCAGGCTTCATTCACACCGATGCTCCAGCATCTAGCTTTTGTACACACAGGAGAAGTAATCTTTTGCCTTCCAGATTCATTTTTCCAACGTTTTAGATGTAGTGGGTTCAGGTGCGTTTACATGCATTAGGTCAATTTGGATCCTAGGCACTCCAGACTTCCTAAACTGACCATGGCTGAATGCATGTAATTGCAATGCGGGAACGAACCCATTAATCATTATGCTTAGGAAAACTTTCTAAATACACATAAACACATCTCATTCTATATGCCCATATGACTGCGTGAATGAGGGCTTATTCAGAGACCATTTTTTCTAGGTTGGGGAACTGCAGTGTTTTAAAGTTTGTTTGACCATGTTTTAGATTACACCCATATTTAGCATGTAACATTAGACATGGACACATTCTCTATCTTGCCCCCCCCCCCATTCCCTTTCCTAAATCCTTCTTCTCTACATCTCTCTATGGACTTGGGGTAATGGAAAAGTCTGCAGGAGCCTGGACATTGCACCTGGGATCCACTGATCATGGTTGCAATGCCTTGCAGGCTCCAATGCCAAAAATTAAAATAAATGCACATTCTTTTATATCAATGTAGTCACATTTATTATTATTTTATTTTTTTTGCATAAAGTGGGCTATGCCTTTAATCATGACAAAAAAGAGGTACTTTGTTTTTCCCTAATGATAACATTTGGTAATGCTGACATGTGTTCTTATGTGCTGAGTGAATTGAAATGGCAGCTCTCTATTAAAGTGAACCTGTATTTGGCCCGTAGTGGACCAAGTAAAAGTCCTACTTTACCAGAGGGGCTTTAAGCAAGCTAAACTTGCCTTTTCTTGGTTCCCCTTGTCCACAATCGGACTGCTGGGGAATTATCTGACCCTTCAAGGTGAGAACACATAACACTCCCCTCAATAAAGAGATCATTGCATAGGCAGCAAATCACTTGGACTGTATCAGAGAGGGTGCATAGCCCTGTGTAAGCTTGCATTTCCTCACTAAGCTGAAACTTCCACAGGAATATCAGGTTGGCTAGTAGGGCAGATGGATGCGGTGGGGTGGGAGCAGGGAATTTGATCCTATTACTTTACCCCGCATGACCAAAATACGGGTTCACTTCTGTTAGCTCCTTCTGGTTTTTGCCAGAGGCATACTGTAATATTTACAAACAGAAGGTTGATTGGCTTTCATGGATTCTCCATTTTATCATTCTCATTGGTGACACTAAAATAATGCCAGCTTCCATGGGCGCTGAGAGCGGAAGCAGAGAAGAGCACAGACTTTGCTGTTTCACACACTGTTCTAAGAACAAGGAATGCAGTCATTTGGCAGGCTGTCTGTGCTTGTCATCTTTTGTCGGTGACATGTGTAAAGGATAAAAGGCAGTTGTATTGACACGAATTGACAGTGGATATATGTTATGATATTATTGTTGGCGACAAGAGAAGCTGTGTCTTCAGAAAATTGAAGTTCAGTAAATTAACCTGAGTCAGGTCAGTTAAAGGCTTGAC